CTGTGTGGCAAGGAAGGGCACCCCGTCGTTCGTTGTTTCAAAAGGTTCGATGCGGCTTTCACAGGACCACCGCAGAAGAGTGCATCTGCAGCAACCAGTTCGTACGGTGTGGATACGAACTGGTACATGGACACGTGCGCCACCGACCATATTACTGGAGAACTAGAAAAGTTGACCGTTCGTGACAAGTATCACGGCCGGGAACAAGTACATGCTTTCAACAGGACAGGTATGGAGATCGCTAATGTTGGTCATAGTCGTTTGCATTCCCCTAATCTCCATCTAAGAAATATCCTTCATGTCCCACAAGCACACAAAAATCTTTGTTCTGTTAATCGTCTCACTCGAGACAATAATGTGTTCCTTGAATTTCATCCCAATTATTTTGCAATCAAGGAGCAGGTGACGAAGAAGGTCATTCACAAAGGCAGATGTGAAGGAGGGTTGTATCCCTTGCAGTCAGCCCAAAATAAGCAAGCACTGGGTGTCATCAAGCCTTCTGCATCCCTATGGCATCATAGGCTAGGCCATGCATCATCCCGTGTTGTGCAGCAAGTTCTGCACCGTCATAAACTTCCTTTCGTTCATGGGTCAGATAAGACTAAGGTTTGCGATGCATGTCAACAAGGCAAAAGTCACCAATTGCCTTACCCTAAGTTGACTAGTTTGTCAAGTCATCCTCTGGATTTAGTTTTTCCCGATGTATGGGGGCCTGCCCCAAGTTCTGTTGGACGTAAAAACTACTATGTGAGTTTCATTGATGATCACACCAAATATGTTTGGGTTTATTTCTTGCGTCACAAATCAGAGGTCTTCTAGTGTTTTCGTGATTTTCAAAACCTCGTTGAATGACAATTTAGTCAAAAAATTCATACCATACAAACAGACTGGGGTGGAGAATATCAGGCCCTACACTCCTTTTTTAATCGCATAGGCATAGATCATCATGTCTCATGCCCTCATGCACATCAACAAAACGGTTCAGCGGAACGCAAACATAGGCACATTGTTGAGATGGGTCTCACACTTCTTGCACACTCATCCATGCCATTAAAATTATGGGATGAAGCCTTTGCCACAGCTGTGTTCATCATCAACCATCTTCCCTCTAAAGTCATCGCCGATCACACTCCTTTTGAGCGTCTGTTTGGGAACCAGCCTGACTACAGCTTCTTTCGCACTTTTGGGTGTGCCGTATGGCCCATGCTTAGACCATACAATTTCAAGAAACTCCAATTTAGATCCAAGCAGTGTGTCTTTCTTGGCTATAACAATATGCACAAAGGCTTCAAATGTCTTGATCCAAAAGAAGGTCGTGTCTACATCTCTCGTGATGTAGTGTTTGATGAAACTGTTTTTCCGTTTGCTTCACTTCACCCAAATGCTGGTGCCAGGCTTCGCTCAGAGCTTGCCCTTCTTCCCGACATACTCAAAAACCGCTCCTCGGATTTTGGGGATGCAAATCTACATGATCCACATTTGTTATCTCCTGCCTCTACTAATGAGTTACCCAAGTCTGGTGGTGTTGTTGCTGAAACAGGAACAGGAACAGGAACGATGCCTGCTGATCATCATTTTATGTGTTCCCCATCAGGGAGCTACCCTCCAAATGAAGCTGATCCGGTGGCGGCTGCGTCAGGGAGTTCAGGCGGATCGGCCTTGGGATCAGGAGGCCTGGTCCGGTCGAGCGTGTCGCCTTCCTCGCCTCGCGACACGTGGGGAGCACCTCCGGAGCCTCTGCGGCACCTTCAGACGGGATTGGCATGGCCACACCAACCCCAGCGCTGCACGGTGATCCCGTCGACCAGGACATAGCGCCTGGCCAGCTGCATGGCGACGCGACGCCGGATTCGGCTGAGATCCAATCACCGGGGTCCTCTACGGCGACTGGATCCGTTTCATCTCCTGCGCTGAGACCTGCAACTCGCCTACAACATGGAATTCAGCAGCCTAAAATTCATACCGATGGCACAGTACGTTGGTGCATGAGCTCTCAAACATCTACAGAAGAGCCAACCATAGCGGAGGAAGCACTTGGTGACCGAAATTGGGTAGCTGCTATGGATAGTGAGCATCAAGCTTTGTTACGCAACAAGACATGGCACCTCGTGCCTCCCCCCAAGGGGAAGAATGTCATAGGCTGCAAATGGGTATATAAGATCAAACGTAGAGCTGATGGCACAATTGATAGATACAAAGCACGCTTGGTTGCAAAGGGGTTCAAACAATTGTATGGGATTGACTATGAAGACACGTTCAGTCTAGTTGTGAAGGCAGCAACCATACGTCTGATCTTGTCCATTGTAGTCTCAAGGGGTTGGTCTCTTCGTCAACTCGATGTACAGAATGCTTTCCTTCATGGCATTCTGGAAGAAGTGTATATGCATCAACCACCAGGCTATGCTGCTAAAGCTCATCCCAACTATGTTTGCAAGTTGGACAAGGCACTCTACGGGCTTAAACAAGCACCTCAAGCATGGTATGCAAGGCTATGCAAGAGATTGGAAAGTCTTGGTTTTGTTCCATCTAAAGCTGATACTTCGTTGTTTTACTACAACCGGGGCAAATACTGCATTTTTGTGTTGGTATATGTAGATGATTTTATTGTAGCAAGCTCCTCACAAGATGCAACAGAAGCATTGCTAAAAGATTTGCAAAGAGAATTTGCACTGAAGGACCTGGGTGACTTGCATTACTTCTTAGGTATTGAAGTTAAAAAGCTATCAGATGGGTTACTGCTCTCGTAGGGAAGATATGCAGCTGATCTGCTTGCTCGATCTGGAATGAATCGAGCCAAGGCTGTTGACACTCCTCTATCTGTTTCAGAGAAACTCAGCTTAACCGATGGTACAAAGCTTGGAGATGAAGATGCAACATGGTATAGAAGTCTTGTTGGGGCATTACAATATTTAACTCTAACAAGACCAGATATATCCTTCTCTGTCAACAAGGTATGTCAATACCTCCACTCGCCTACCACTATACACTGGAGTGCGGTAAAAAGAATCTTTATGTATGTTTGTGGTACTCTGAATTATGGGCTTAAGATCAAGAGATCAAAATCAATGATGATCGATTGCTTTCTCGACGCTAATTGGGCGGGATGTCCGATGACCGCAAATCAACCTGGTGGCTTATTTGTGTTTCTAGGTGAAAATCTAGTGTCATGGACAGCCAGAAGAAAGCGACCGTGTCACGGTCTAGCACGAAAAGTTGAGTATAAGGCCTTGGCAAATGCCACGGCTGAGATGATGTGGGTGCGAAGTTGTTGATCGAGCTCAAGATTGATCACCCTGTGGTTGCACGGTTGTGGTGTGATAATTTGGGGCAAAATACTTGTTCCGCCAATCCAAAGTGTTTCACGCTAGAACGAAACACATAGAGATTGATTTCCACTTTGTTAGAGAACAAGTGGCGTAAAAATTGTTGGACATCAGATTCATTAACTCAGGCGATCAGTTGGCCGATGGCTTCACCAAAGCAATTCCCGCTGCGAAGCTACGACAATTTAGAGTCAATCTTAACATTGTAAGTGGCTAAGATTGAGGGGGAGTGTTAGATGATATGATAGGTTAGCCCTGGTATGACCAGGTTCATTGTATTCTAGATGAGATCCTATTAGTTCGGTATAGATGGCAGGTTAGCCTAGATTGAAGGGATCATTGTTGTAACCATATATTGTTGTACTTGCCATCACGGAGGGGCGATTCCTCTGGTATTATAACACGCAACCCAGGAGACCGAGAAGGCACCTGGTTCCTCCCAAACTTACAACGAGATCCTTAGGAGAAAGGACGGGGACTGAGCAGGTTTACTGGGAGAGGACGACAGCTGCGGTGGTCGAGGAAAGTTTTGAAAAAAAAAACTCCCTCCGTTGAACCCCCCCCAAAACTCAAATTCTAACGACTTATAGCCATGATCCCATGATGGTGCAAGCATAGGAGATAAAAAAAAGGTGGGTGGAAGGTAGGGATGCCAATAGCTCGAATGGAATATGGGTGGACTAAAAACCCGCCCTCGACAACACAGAGACTTTTTCACACTCGTCCTCAAAACACCCTATATATGGGTCAAATATTTTTTTTTTATGAAAGTGGGTCAAATGTTACACCCACACTCGTGGGTCACCCAATGGGTTCTAGGTGCCCGTTGGGTATTTTAACAGCACCACAGAAAGTATATCATCATGAATTAATATAGGAGGACAACAATATTTTAGCACTGAAATTGGCATGTAAGAAACCGACACAACTGAACAACATATAATTGACAGTAAGATTCTCAGTTCTGAGTTCATACAATGACATAGAAGAAGTAAAGAACTCTGCATGTGACACAAAAAGTGACAGCAAGATTCTGAGTTCATACAATGACATAGAAGAAGTAAAGAACTCTGCATGTGACACAAAAAGTGACAGCAAGATTCTCAGTTCTGAGTTCAATGATCAAACAGCACAGCTAGTTCCAATTTTAGACTAACTAACTAGCAAAGTAGCAACACAATGTCTCCAGCTACTAGTTACACAGAAGTAGAAAATAAATCTCAGATCTCACAACACAGAAGTGGTGTCCACGGTGCACCTGCGGTACCAAGTCCCCTTCCCCACTTCTTTAAAAAGAGATTATGATCCATCCTGCCATGGCATCTGAATCTTAGTACATCCCTTTCTGTTCCTTGCACGTCTTGCAAACTGTGCGTCTCCACCCGCTTCAAGCTTCATGTCCACGCAGAATAGAATTAGCGCAAAAGAAACATGACACTTGCACCAAAAAAAAAAAAAAAGATAAGCAGGAACAAGAGTCAGGATTGACGAACCCATCTCATCCATTATTAACCCAGTCATTAGTCACGTAATTACATGCAAAAAAAACCAACGAATGAAATAGTACTCTCTTTATGCCTTTGAAATTTATCCAAGAATCCCTGTACACACTCAACAAGTTCCTCATCTTCTTGCCCGTACGCAACATCAACACATAGTCACACGCACGCACACTTGTCAGTTGTCACACGTGGGGGCTCGATCAGCTTCGGCGACGGTGCCCATGAGCTCCAGCGCCGTGTCGACGAGCGCGGCGAGCCCGACGGCGTGCCTGCTCAGCCCAGCGCTGCCGGAGAACACGTGGAAGCACTCCAGCTCCGACGTCGTCTCCGCCACGCGCCGCAGCTCCGCGCGCATCCCCGCCGCGGCCATCGCCTCGGCGATCAGCCACCTCTCCCTCGCCGGTGGCGCCCTCAGCAGCGCGATAACGAGCTCGACCGTGAACCTTCGGATCCGCGGCGCCTTGATCGAAGGGCAGGCGTAGGTCGCCAGCACGCTGACCAGCCGGCTGACCAGCTCCGCCTCGCTGACCCCGGCGTTGACGTAGTGGTGGGCCACCTCGTGCGGGCCCATCAGCCTCACCAGCTGAGCCGCGAAGCCCAGCGAGACCTCCAGCGGCTTTGACTCGTTGACGGTGGCCACGTCCCGGAGCACCGTGGCCGCGCCGCGCGTCGCGCGCCGGAGCTGCGGGAACCACTCGCTGCTCCCGCCGGTGTACGCGCAGAGGTTCGTCAGGATCCTACCCGCCTCGACGCCGATCGCGGCGTCCCCAAGTGCGTCGACGAGACTGTCCACGGTGGTGGTGGTGGATGTGGTGGCCGAGATCGAGGTGCCGCCGGCTCTGAGGATGCGCTTACAGTTGCGCGGGCTCTCGAGAGCCAGCATGGCGAGCGCCTCGCCGGCCTCGACGCGAGCGAAGTCGGCGGCGGCCTCGTCGTCGTCGGAGGAGCCTCCGCCGGGCCGGAGGAACATGTCGAGCAGGAGCGGGACGATTCCGCCCGTGCCACCGATCCGCTCGCGCGCGTCCGCGTCCATGGCGAGGCGCGTCAGCACCTCGGCGCCGAGCCGCCGCAGCCCGACGTGGGCGGCGGGCGCGTGACGGAGCACGGCGCGGATGTTGCTCACCGTGAACACGATCTCCGCCACCTCCCGCCTCAGCTGCTTCCCGGTGCTGCCTGTGGTCTCGGTGAGCATCTTAATCACCTGCAGCGACCGCTGCACGGCCTTGGCCCGCGCGGGGGCCATCATGACGAACGTGGCGGTAGGTCCTGTGAAGCCAATGGCGGAGAAGTCGATGATCTTATCGAGCAGGCCGCGGGCGGTGCCGATCTTGCTGCAGTTGTCGTGGTCGCGCGCGAGCTTCTTGATGATGAGGAGGCCGAGGAGGTTGCACTCCTCGTCGGCGGCGTAGAGCAGCGACGACACGGACTCGATGGCGCCGGGAACCCCCGCGACACGGAGCGCGTTGCGCTTCTTGCTGGCGAGCTTGGACACGACGAGCGCGGCGGACGCCCGCGCGCCGCTCTCGGCAGGGCCCGTCCAGCTGAGCATCTCCACGAGGCGCTCCACGACGGCGGGGGACGTGCAGACGCGGCGTAGCGCGGCGTCCCCGAGCCGCGGGCTGGCGGCAACGTTGACGAGGATGCCCGCGCCGATGCGCTGCTCGTCGTGGGATCCCCCCACGATGAGCTCCTCGGCGAAGGACACGAGGTCCATGCGGAGGCCGTCGAAGATGCTCCCCTCGACGCACCGCGAGTAGGCGTCGTAGAAGAAACGGCGGATGGCGAGGAGCCCCGGCGAGCCCGCGAGGAGGCACTCGGCGGCGACGCGCTCCAGCAGGCGGCCGTGGCTGACCTCCCACTCCCACGCCGCCTTCTCGGCCAGGAACAGCATCGCCTCGGCCAGCGCCAGGCCGTAGAAGATGTCGAGCGCCGACCGCCGGTTCGTCCGCGCGTCCACGGCCTCCCCGAAGTCCTGCCTGGCGAGGCGCACCCCGGACAGCACCACGCACGCCGTCGCGGAGGCGAGCTGCAGCCAGTAGAACAGCCGCCCGACGTGGCCCGACAGGAAGCTCCAGCTCCAGCTCATCCAGGGCCAGCCGCATCCGCATCCGCTCCGGCCGACGTGGCTGCTGCAGGACACTGCCGAGGCGGCGGCTCCGCCGGCCGCCTTCCCGCTCGTCCCGCAGCTGGCACCCTTGCGGAAGACGAAGCGGAAGGATCGCGTGACGAGTCGGACGCTAGACCTTCCCGCGGCACTGAGCGAGAGCGACCACGTGGCCTGGTGCTGCCACTCCAGCTCGTGGCTGCGGCTGAAGATGCGCGCGCCCTCGACGAGGAGGATGACGGTGACGCACCAGAAGTCGACCCGCTCCAGCGTGATGGCGAAGCCACCGAGGAGCACGACGGTGGCCCAGATGAAGCCCAGCGCGCCCAGCCCGCTGGCCGCCTTCTCCAGCACGGCGAGCCGCAGCGCCAGCAGCGTGAGCCGGCGCTCGGGCCCCGCCGCGCCGTCGTCGTCCGGGTCCGGCCGCACCCGCGCGCTGCACGACGCCTCGTTGTTGTCGTCGTCGTCGGCCGCCACGCTCGGGCGCGGGGGCGAGTCCGAGAGCTGCGGCTCGAACGGCGTTGCCGCGGCCATGAACCCCGGGGCACCCGCTGGCGGGTCGCTCGGCTGCGCCTCGATGGTCAGCCGCACCGACCGGTCGGAGACGTCCATTGGTCTGCCGATCGAACGATCCCTTACTTAATTTCAAGGTTCGAGCTTTGAATGTCTGTTTATTTCAAGGTTCGATGGAGATGCAATGATTGATAGGGGTGCGTCAGTGCGGTGCATTATTTATATGCGGCCAGTGTATGCGCGTGGCGGCGTGATGTCGCCATGGCTGTGGAGATCAAGGGGCGGTTGCGTGAGCGCGGGAGACGAGGTTGTCCGGAAGGTAAGAGATGAAGGGGCAAGGGGGTGGCTGTTCGCGAGTGTGAGCCAGCCAGCCAGCACCGGCGCTGTGGTGGAGATCGACCGGAGAGGGAACGTAGGCCGGCAGGAGGTCCGGGGACAGGGAGGATGCGGTGGGGTGGACGCAAGGACAAGGTCGATCCATTGATTTGGAGGCCACGCGGGAGCGCGCGCGCGCATGCACGGCTGACGCAAGATGCAAATCTGCTGCCGGTGCCGGAGCCCGGAGGTGGCGTAGTTAGCTGAGCAACATATGTAGTTAATGATCTCCACCAATGGACCCAACGGTCAATTAAGTCCTTAGATCCGCGTCCTGAACGGAGACGTCCAATCGTTCTATGGTTAGTGTCCCTCCGTCGCACAGCACCATAAAAAGCGAGGTGGGAGCCGGGGCACAAGGCACGAGGTTCACCTGAGCCGCCAGACAGTCCACCTATAGTCCCTAAACCCTAACCGATCTAAGAGGGGGTGCTACCAGCGACGGGAAAACCGCCACCGGCCACCGCCGCCTCTTCACTGTCGCCACCGCGACAACGCCTTCACCGCCAGGCTTCACCGCGCCACCGACGAGTAACTTCATGGCCAGCTCGTCTTCTACGAAGGCGGCCGATGGTTTACACCTCCCCAACCCCCCCTCTCTCTCTCTCCCTCTTTCTCTCTGTTTCTCGTTTTAGTTTATGTTCTAGGATTTACACTTCATCAAATGTCAGTAGGTATGCTAGATCTATGGCTAGTGATCCTGTAATATTCTATCAATGGTATCAGAGCCTAACTAGGCATAGATCTAGCTTATCGGGGTAGAAAACCGAGTAGCAGCAATTAGAAGGAGGTGGGAGATCCGATTCGGATCAAATGTCAGTAGGTATGCTAGATCTATGGAACCCTAAACCCTAATCGGGTGAAGAAAAGGGGAAAGAAAGGGTCTCAATTTTGAAAAGGAACTCAAACCCTAACCCTAACCCACGTAGACAACTCGGGGAAGAAGAACAGTAGCCAACTCTAACCCTAACCCTAACCCTAGAAACGGATCGGACAAAGGAGAGGAGGACCTACCCGGACTCTCCGTCGCGTGTCACCACAGCCGTTGCGTGGGTTGTATCCTGCCATCGCGCGGGAAGGAGCTCCGCCGCCGCTTCGCTGGCGCGCGGAGAGAAGCCGAGCCACGCTCGCTGCCTTGCGCGCGAGCCCGGCCGAGGGCATCGTGACAGGACCGCTCGACGGCGGGGCACTCACCCACTGGTGAGTGCGCGCTCCGGCGAGGGGACCTACGGCGACGCCGATCAGATCTAGGGTTTAGGGAAAGTCTCCACCGCAGCGCAAGTGGGGCGCAAAGAGCACCAACGCGGTGCCGCTCGACGGCGCTGTGCGCGGATCCAGCCGCACGCGTGCACCAGCGAAGGGCGCCACGGCGGCGCCACCACGCTTTCTCTCTCGGGCCATCGTGGTTCGGAGTGAGAGTGGGAGAGAGAGCCAATGCTGCGGCGAAGAGAGAGAAGAGAATGAGAAGAATGACCTAGGGTTCGGGCGCGTGGCCGTCGTCGCTGTTTTTATATCCGCCGAGAACGATGGACAACCGTCCGATCGCGATGAACGGTTGAGAGCCATCGGGCCTGATATAGCCCAAGCGGGGAAGGAGAATCCCGGCCCAGGCTTAGGTTGTGGCCTGGGCACCGGGAAGCGGGCGCGCGCGCGCTCTGTTGGGCCGCGAGCGCGGGCGCGCGGGCGGAATTTCGCTGCTGGGTCGAGCACTATTTCAACGGGCTGGGCTAAATGGACTGTATAAACTGAGTTATTGTTTTATTCATTTTTAGAAATAAATTTTGATGATTTTTTTGATCCAGTTTCAATCTTTGTCAAAATTTGAACCAAGGGGATAATTTTTTCAGAGAGTAGATTAGCACAATGAAATGCTTCTGAAAAGTAGACAAATAATTTTTTTATGTTTCCGCTGCAATGTTAAAGTTTATTATCTTCTAATTAAATTCGAACCAACGGGAGAATTTAATTTGAAGGGCAGTTGAATTTTATTCAGTAAATTATAATATTGTTGTTTTTCTGACCAACGTTGATAATATCAATATTATAATGTTCAATAATAAGTTTTCCATGCATTAATTCTATTTCTGCCCGATGGTGATGTAGAATTAGTGTATAAGATTGTTGTATGTTTTAATTTTGACCAACGTTAAATTAAAGCATGCAATTATGATGTCATATTTTCTCACTATCTCTGATAGTGTTTTTTTAGGACTCAACCCAATGGCTTTTATCTCGCAAATACCGCCTCTTGAAGGGGGCAACTACAGGGTATGGCGAGAGAAGGATAAACTAGCACTTGCGCTGTCTGAAAATGACCTAGCACTTACCTTCCCGTGTCCAACTAAGCCAGTGGACTCGATGAGGGAAGATAATGAGACTGATGCTGATTTCACTGCTCGGCAGCAAGATCATGCAGAAGTGTGGATGAAGTATGATCTCGAATGCAAGAAATGGGACATTTCAAACCGCAAGTGCTTGATGGTGGCTAAGTCTATAATTTCAGATGCTATAAGGGGGTCCATCCCAGATTGTGATACCGCCATAGAGTATCTTAAGAAAGTGGAGAGTCAGTTTACTGGCTCTTTAAAGGCTTATGCCAATACTTTGATCAAGAAATTGTTCAATGAGAAATACACTAGTGGCGATATCAGAGAGCACATACTAAAGATGAGCAACACGGCCTTGAAGCTGAAGCCAATGGATTTGGGGCTCAAAGATGAGTTCCTGATTCATTTGGTTTTTGCTTCCTTGCTGAAAGAGTATGAAACTTTTGTTGTTAACTACAACATGCAGCCTGATAAGTGGGACATTGAGAAGCTCATTGCAATGTGTGTGCATGAGGAGGAGATGCTTAAAAGCTCACAGGGTGACTCTGCAAACCTTGTGAAGAACAATAAAAGGAAAAATTTTAATGCCCAACCTCATGGGGAAGCCCCTCAGATTGATCACCAGCAGAAGAACAACAATGTACAAGTTGACAAGGATCAGTGCAAATGGTGCAAGAAGTGTGGACATTACCAGAAGGACTATCCAGAGTTCTTGAAGAACCTTCTGAAGAAAGGTGAGGATATTATTACATTAATAGATCAGTCCTTGTATTTAAGTTATTCAAAATCTACATGGTGGATTGACTCAGGTGCAACTATTCATGTTGCAAATTCATTACAGGGATTCCATACGAGGAGGACCCTGCAAAGAGGAGAAAGAAGAATTAAAGTAGCAAATGGAGTTGAAGCTGAAGTTAAAGCTATTGGAGATCTTTCTCTAGAATTAGTTGATGGTTTTGTACTTAAGCTTTCAAATGTTCTATATGTACCCTCTTTGCGAAGAAACTTAATAAGTGTTTCACGTTTAGATGATGTTGGGGACTGAATACTAGGGTACCCAAAGAGGAGGAGCTAATAACCATCAAACATTGATGCTTCCGAACAGACAAGAACGCAACTACAATTCTTGCCCAACGACCGAAGGCTGGCTCCGCCTCGCCCGACCCCTGAGGGCTGGCTCCGCCTCGCCCGACCCCCAAGGGCTGGACTCCACCTCGCCCGATGTCTGGGGGCAGACTCCGCCTCGCCCGATTTCCGAGGGCTGGCTCTGCCTCGCCTGACCCTCGAGGGCCGGACTCCGCCTCGCCCGATGTCTAGGGGCAAACTCCGCCTCGCCCGACGACTAAGGGTTGGCTCCGCCTCACCCGACGTCTGGGAGCAGGCTCCGCCTAGCCCGATGTCCGAGGGCAGGCTCCACCTCGCCCGACGTCTAGGGGCTGGGCTTCGCCTCCCCCGACGTCTAGGGACAGACTCCGCCTCCCCCGACGTCTTGGGGTAGACTCCGCCTAGCCCGACGTCTGAGGGCAGACTCTGCCTCGCTCGACGTTCGAGGGCTGGTTCCACCTCGTCCGATGTCTGGGGGCAGACTCCACCTCACCCGACGTCTGCGCGCTGCTCCCTCATAACTACGCGCGCAGATAAGGCGGGACACTCAAGTCAACCGCAATACCGAGGACTATACCCTGCACGCCTGCAGGAAAGTACCATCAGGATATGACCAGACGGGCGCTTTAAGCCCTTTTAGGCATGTCAGAGCCCAAATAGTGTTGTGGGCGCCGACATTTATTCTATAGTGTTATGGGCACCGGCATTTGCCCTCGGACACGAATCATGACGAAAACATACGACAAGCACTATGGTCCAGGAGGAAACTCATGTCATCTACAGTAACGAACGTGGGGCCCCTACGCCGTCTGCTCCCCATAGGGTCGTGGCTCAGCACCCTGGTGCGTCGCGCCACCCTCCGAGGCGGGACGGGACATGACCACTTGCTGTACGAATCCAGAGCACGGTCCTATCAGGATCAGGGAATGTGCTATCCCTAGCACCGTTTGCCGTATTAGCGGGACTCGCTCAGAGGAAAAGGAAAACCCTACATCTTTGAAGGACCTTCTTGGCTTCTGGTTCTTCTTCTTTCTCCCATTTGTAATCCCTGCTCCCCCTTGATCTATAAAAGAGAAGGCAGGGCACCCCACTAAGGGGATGGATCAATTCAACACACCACGCATCACATAACACATAGTTGAGCAGCAACTAAGCTCTCAGCGCCCTTTCAACCTTTCCATCAGAGACTTGGGACCTATCCCTCCCTCGACCGTTTGTACCCCCTACTATGAACCTTTCAGTGCTAATAACATGAGCAGCAGTAGCAAATTAGACGTAGGCACATTCTGCCCG